GAAGGGTTGATCGTGCCGAAAAAAAAAAAAGTAAATAACAGGGTGAAAACGAAATAAGATCTGAAAACGGTGTAAAAGTCAGGTGACAACGAGGCCATTTTTTTTCTGAATTGCTTTGAAAACACTATCGGTTGGGTTTAGGGTAGGGGTTGGGCAGGTCAATCAGTGATTTTTGAAACCACTATCGGTTGGGTTTAGGGAAGGGGTGGGCTAGTCAGTCAGTCAGTCTGACAGTGGCCTCTGATGAATTTACATGAGAAGAGATTAGATTTTCTTTGGTATTTAGGTGTGTGCTAGCGACTGCGCACACTACAGTGTACATGATTATTTGTTTAATGGTGTACTTTAAATCAGGGTTCTTGCACCATTTTAAAAGTAAAATTTAATGCTTTTAAAGACCTTTTTAAGACCTCAACAAATATAATTTAAGACCCAAAAATTATATAATTTCTTTGGAATAGGCTACTCATTTTAATGTTTTCATTAGATTAAAATAAATTGTGCCTCGTCACAATATGGATAACCCGCAGTACCTGCCTTTTGGGTGTCTGGTGTTGAAATGAAACTGTTATAGCTGACTGTGAGGGGGCGTCTGAACTAGAGCTGTAATCAGGCTATGAAAGGTAGGCCCGATAGAGCCCGAACCCGACAGGTACATTTTGATTGACAGCTTTTTAAAAGCCCGAACCCAATTATAGCCCGACATTATCCAAATGTGCACTTGTACAGCTCTTTTGTCTTTTTTTCATGAATGAGTTGTTTATATGTGTTAACATTACTTATCCATAACATAGGCTACAGGCCAAATTGGAAAAAAAAAAAAAAATAAGCCCCCTGTAACATCTTAACATCTCAACACTCTAAATAGGCTTGGGTATTTAAATTGGCCAACGCACCAATAAAATAAGTCTTTCTTAGCAAATTAATTAAAATAAATGATAAATGATGACGGATATTTGGCAATAACGAAATTAAGATAAACGATCTGTGGGATTTGTTTTGCCTTTTCTCTTCACAATAGGGTGATGGTGAAGCTGAATAATAAAATAATGCCAGCATTAGCCTGTATACTCTGCATACATGATGATTTTATTAATATTTAGTTATAATTTGAAATTCTTTACTCATCAAGATTAGGTTGACATTGTTGATTCCACTGTAAATGGCTTTAGCGCAGTCCTGCGCTCACTGAGCAGCACTTAACACCGTTTCTCTGCTGCTGCTACTGGCCGGGATACACTACTGATCCAGCTAATTTAGCTTGTTTTGGGTAGGATTGTTTGTTCATCTTACACCAGTCAAGAAAATTCATTTAATTTTCCATGACAGCGGTTTCAATGCAGCGAGTGGCCTCGTCATGACCTGTCAGCTCGCAGGACACTGCTCCTTAGTGCTCTACCGTAATACGCAGTATATAAGCGACCGCCAAAATACCTTTATATACCAGCGGCTAGAATGATTGTTTGAATAAAAGAGGCAGCTGGCCTGACCGCTGACATAATTCGCTCTTTTTGACATCTGTGTCATCATTTGATTCACCTTTGCAGGGATGGATTTCAATGTTTTAACAAACAATTTGATTACTTCCTCGCGCTAATCGAAATGCATCACATGACTGTTCATTTACTGCGCAAGGCCAAGCCCGGCACGACCCCGTCTAAAATGATAGAAATAAAGTCCAAACCCAACAAAGATCCTCAGCTCTAGTCTGAACTAGTAACATTGTTAGGTCGAGCTGCAAACAATGCAAGGATTAACCTGGACCCGCTATGACTATAGCTGCTGCAATGTCCAGCTGCTGCTTTCCTCCTTTCATGTGATACTCGATGACTTTGAGGCCCATGGTCCCTAACGAAAAGGTCTTTTTGCAGAATTTACACATTGCCTCTTTGCCACATCATTAAATTTACATTCTCCCATCTTTGCATTTTGAACCTCACATCAACAACCGCGTAATGACAGCACGCAGGTGCAGACCGGCGTCAGCGTCTGTACTCTGTACCCGACCTACCGTAATAAGCTAATAAATCGCAAAGACTGTCATTTCTCTCCTGTTTCACATGCTGAATTAATCAACTATTAGATGTTTTACGGTGGACCACTGTGCTGCCCTATCGTCATTAAGCAGACCGTCTGAAAATTTAATACCTACAGCCACTTTACGGTAAAATTTAAGACAATTTAAGACCTTAATTTCCCGGATTTTAATTTAAGACATTTTAAGACTTTTTAAGGACCCGCGGGAACCCTGTAAATATCAAAGTATACTTTGGGCTTTTGAGGAGACCCTCTGGTAATAATAAATTAAATATAAAAAAAAAAATAAATTAAACAATAAATTGAATAATAAAAAAGTCTGCTGAAAGTGGAGAATATCTGCATTTCAAACGATGTAACTCAACTGTAACACCAAAATTCTCTGTTTATTTAATATGTAGAAAAGCAAGGAGATGCACAACTTTCTGTTTAATTCTCATTACTTTTGATTAGAAGCATGCAGCTCACCCCCAGATGGTTTCACATGTAAAAGAGCATGCCGCAAAAGAGCATGACGTTGTTATGCCAAACTTGAAATTTGCTTATTAAGGTGATATTTATTATATTAGTGAAATTTCTGGTGAGTCTAAATTGTCTGTAGCATTTTGATGCATGAAATGTGCAGTTTGGATGTGCACTATGAATTTTTTCCACATAACATTAATTGATTTTGAACAACTCAGTTTGGCCACAAAGTGGGGAAATTGAACCATATCACTGTTTCACAACCAGAGAAGCTAGGAAAACTAAAAAGGAAACTAAAAAAAAAAAAAATATATATATATATATATATATATATATATATATATATATATATATATATATATATATATATATATTACTGAAAATGGGAAAAACAAAGAATTAGCAAAACTGTAGAGAAAATTCGAGGGCATAAATGGTCTATTCTTTCTGTCATTAATAGTGTCAAAAAGCATCAGCAAAAGCTGAAGAAATTTCTAGTGCAAAAATTATACATTGTTTATTATCAGTAGTGTCGAGAATAACAAAAACAACACAAGTCACTTTCAAGACCTAGCAGCTTTCAAGTTATTGTCAAAACTGATAAATCCACAAGACTAAACTGAATCTGTTGAGAAATCTAAAATAGTAAATCTTCCCAATTCCCAATCGTCTGGATACCCAGTGAAAAATTACAGCATTTTGCTATTGTAAATTAGTCCAGAAAACATCAAATGCAATCGTTTAATGTCAGACTCTGCTAAATCCTGACCTCTATCTGATCTCCGAGCTCCACCAACAGGTTGCTCTTGTACTTTCTGAGAGATCTTCTCTGTTCATTGACCAAGAAATCACCACAGGCTAGTGATGAGTATCATGTGCAACTTTTTTTCCACATCTTGTGACATCTATTTGCCAACAACAAATACCAGTAAAACAAGAACAAAACTATTCGAAGAGAGCGAGTTTGCATGCATTGCCTGGTTACAGATCAACAAACTAATCTTATCTAGTAGCTGTCAGTCCAACACTTACCCTGAAGAGATGAAGCTGAGCTAAAGGTGACGAATAGATTTGAATGCAAATCAAAAGAGCGAGCGAAGGGAAAGCAGAAAATGACTGTGGAGGGAAGATTGTGAAGGGAAAAGAGAGAAAGAGGCAGGAAGCACAGCCCTGTCAATGTCTCAGAGGGGATCCCAAGTCTTTTAAAAACATCCAAGCAACATACACGCATACGCAGGCAAATGCCTGGCCAGAAACTGCCTCTGGGACACATGAGAAACGACCCTCTTAAAGCCAAGAGTCTCTACTTAAAGGGATCGTTCACTCGGCACAGAAAATGATAATAATTATTATCATTGACTCATGTTGTTCCAAACCTGTAGGCTATTTTTTGGGGTTTTTGAAGATTCTTCAAGCAACATAAAAGTAGCTCATTAAAAAGGTTTGGGTCAGTGAGTTTGCAAAAGGATCATTCTTTTGATTTGAATCTTTTCAACGATTCAGTGCTCAGTGATTCAGTTGTAGTGATTCTCAAGTGAACAGCCCATAGTTATAGTGATTTTAATTACTAAGGGATTGTTTACATGGATATGTTAAATTGAAAATGTGTATAAAAAAAAAAAAAAAAAAAAAAATATATATATATATATATATATATATATATATATATATATATATATATATATATATATATTAGGATGTCATCTTTTCGGTTCAATTGGATGTTTAACGTCAATGTTTTACATCATGTAGGCAGGTTATACAATTTATCATTGAATAAGGGCAGTCAGATAAATGAACTGAACCTTAATTTTACCTGACTGTCCCACATTGTAAAAATAATATCCATAAATTAGCCGTTTTTTTCCGTGATTTTAAATTTTGTGATTTGTGTTTTTTTTTTACATTTATTTTCCCCCATGTATTTCTGCTTTTGAATTGCATTATGGAACCTTGATCTTTCTTCCAACTACATTTAACTTTGTTTAAAAGTCAGAAAAAGTGACTTTTATTAACATGTTTAATAGTTTAAAGTGCTATATTGTCTGGGTTGGTGTTGTACATAATGGTCCAAAAACCTTGTAATAAACTGCCAGTAAATTTTCTGATATTCAGTCCCTCCAAGATATCACGATCCTTGAATTTATCACAAAATCAAGCAAACTCGGGGTCTAGACGTTTTCTATGACGTCATTACGACACGGATTCACCCAAAACAAAGGCCATGTGGACACAAACATCCCTTGCTAAGCCATGATTTTACACTATCATGATCGTAGGTGGCAGTATTTATATTTATTCTGGTTTGTAACTCAGCATTTAACCAGAAGAAGAAGACAGTGCACGTTAATTATGAGTAAACATAAAATCGCATTTACCTACAATGTTACTGAGAAAGACAGTGAAAACTTGAGGTGAGTGAAATTAGTTAAATAAAGACTTATGGGCACAGAAAATAGTGGCAAAGACAACTTGTTATTTTTTTAAAGGACTCTGACCTGGCTGAGCGCTCCTCTGTCCAGCCAGTGCAGGAGTGTGTGTGCGGTGGAGCAGGGCAGTTGTGAGCGCAGTGAGTGTCGCTCCTCGTCTCCGGCCTGCAGCTCGAGTGCCAGCCTCAGCTCTTCTGCCAGCTGGAGGATCTGCAGGGGCCCGACGCTCACCGGAGAGCCCAGATCATACAGCCCGTTACTCAACTCCGCCACTGCCTTTGAACCTGCGGAGAAAACACAATATAGATGAGCCTGGGTTTAGTGTTCGTGTGGCTGAAAATATTAAATCTGGGAAATGTTTTTTAAGTAAAACAAAAACCTTGATGATGCAAAGACAGAGATAGATCGCTTTATTTTATTTTTCAGAACAATTATTGATTAAATTATTTATGTGAATTCAATATTCACAAATAAAATACTAATACAATTTTAATTATTATTATTTTACAGTCAAAAAGAATTGATCAGTATTAAAAGAATGTGGTGTATTAGTGAAAGATTTATTGTTTAAGACTTTACAAAGAGAAAAAAAAAGTGCACTCTGGTGTATTTTGGTAAATGAACTAAAGCTAAATTAGTATAGTATAATATTAGATTAAACTCTTAATGCAAAATAAAATATTTTTTTATTTTTTAATATTTTATCAACGTTTTTCCAATCTTCTATAGTCAAGTTTTGGTGAGCCTGTATGAATTGTAGCCTCAGTTTCCTGTTTTTAGCTGACAGGAGTGGCACCCAGTGAGGTTTTCTGCTGCTGTAGCCCATCTGCCTCAAGGTTGGACATGTTGTACGTTCAGAGATGCTCATCTGCATACCTCGGTGGTAACAAGTGGTTATTTGAGTTACTGTTGCCTTTCTATCAGCTCGAATCAGTCTGGCCATTCTCCTCTGAACTCTGGTATCAACAAGGCATTAGTGCCCACATAACTGCTGCTCACTGGATATTTTCTCTTTTTCGGACCATTCTCTGTAATTGGTTTCATTTTAGAGATTGTTGTGCATGAAAATCCCAGTAGATCAGCAGTTTCTGAAATACTCAGACCAGCCTGTCTGGCACAAACAACCATGCTACGTTCAAAGTCACATAAATCACCTTTCTTCCCCATTCTGATGCTCGGTTTGCAGCAGATCGTCTTGACCATGTCTACATGCTTAAGTTTCTGCCATGAGATTAGTTTTTTATAAATTTGCATTAACGATCAGTTGGACAGGTGTACCTAATAAAATAACCAGTAAATGTGTGTGTATATATATATATTTATTATATATTATTTTATAATATACAACTATTATTTTTATTCTTACATTTTCCATTAGTAAATAAATCTATGTTTTACAGTTTTACAGAAAGTAATGATAGAATTTTCACAGTTGGATTAATAAAATAAAATAGCCATTTAGAGCAAGCTAGGTGTATTTTTAAACATATTTTACAAATTTTAAACATAAAATGAAAGATGTTTGTTTTCTCTTTTAGAATAACATTTTAGTTAACGATACAAACTCTACTACAAATCAAGCCTAAGGTGCCTAGAGAGGTGAAAGTGTGCAAGTGGATATTCGGCGTCACACACGTCATCTGTCATCACATCATATTACGCATCATCTGCAGTGCCGCAGCCACGTGTCGCTTCAACATCAGCCTGAACCACAACAACACATCCAACCGCCTCCATCTGGACACCACTGAACATTCACAGAAAACCCTCAACATCTGGACACCATCGGGAAATTAGAACACTTCACAAGTGCATGATGACATCACTTATTTCTTAACGCCAGAATCAACTAACAGAACAAAGGGAGACACAGTTTTTATATTACACAATTGCCTGACCACTCTTTTCTAATTGATCAATTTTTTTGTTTTCTTAAATGTAAATATGCAAACAACGGAGACATTGTGTCATTAATCATGAGCTCATCTGCATGCGTTTCTAGCTCAAAAATCTGAATACTAGAAGTCAGGACCAAAATCTTTGTTTTTTTCTGTGACATATTAGAGTCAAATGTTGTTGTTGTTGTTTTTTTACAAATTTATTTTTTTTTCTAATTCTGAAAGTACTGCAGTGCGTTGTGTCTAATGCTTCTCGCCTGGTGTGTGGTCCGCGTCATATGGCAGTATCACAACCTGCATTCAAAAACTAGTTTGAACTATGCTACACAGGTTGTGTCTTGCTAAATGTCAATACATACTGTATAAGCATCTGTCATCATAAGCATAGCCTTCTATCTCTCTCTCTTTCTCTCACACACGCATGCACATGCAGACACACAAGCGTGCACACACAGTCATGCACTCTGCATCGTTTCTATCAACGTGTTCAAATATGGCTGCCAAACAACGCAAATGTGTTTTAGTTTAAAAACTTTTTTTTTTTCCTAAAATATGATACAGCAGGTTTTGGGGGGGAAATTAGTTTCTCTGTTTCTATTATATAAATTAGAGATCAATGGTCCTTAAAGTCTAACAGTTACTAAATAATTAATTTGTGTACATTTGGAAAAACAAAAATCATTGTCATTCAAAAACATTTTAGTTATTTAAGTCAAATATTTTTCACAAACTGTATATATTTTTAATATTATTAATAAGTCAAAAATATTACAGCAAACCATCTGAATAAATGTACAGTTGTGGATTGCACAATGTGCATTTTATTTGCTTATATTTTAATAATAATACTAAACATTTTTTCTATTTAATTATCTTTTTAGTCCTCATATTAGTCTTTTTCCTTGCTTATTTCTATTTGTGTATTTATTAAAATTCCAATTGTGTTTTTTTTTCATCTTTTCTGTATGTATATACAGTTGAAGTCAGAATTTTTAGCCCCCCTCAATTATTAGCCGCCCTTATTTTTCCCTAATTTCTGTTTAACCGAAAGAAGATTTTTTTCAGCACATTTCTAAACATAATAGTTTTAATAACTCATTTCTAATAACTGATTTATGTTATTTTTGCCATGATGACAGTAAATAATATTTGATTAGATATTTTTCAAGAAACTTTTATACAGCTTAAAGTGACATTTAAAGGCTTAACTAGGTTAATTAGGTTAACTAGGGAGGTCAGGGTAATAAGGCAAGTTATTGTATAACAATGGTTTGTTCTGTAGACAAATCAAAAAATATAGCTTAAAGGGGCTAATAATTTTCACCTGAAATTGTGTTTAAAAATTTTAAAACTGCTTTTGTTCTAGTCGAAATAAAACAATTTTTTTCTCCAGAAAAGGCCTACTGTGAAAATTTACTTGCTTTGTTAAACATAATTTGGGAAATATAAAAAAATTAAATAAAATACAAAGGCGGGCAAATAATTATGTCTTCAACTGTATGTATTATATAATCATTGTGATATAATTTGCAATACTTTGGCAATACTTAAAAAGTCATGTCAATAAAGAAAATAAATTGTCAATAAAATGTCAATTAAAAAAATAAAAACTGCATTGAATTAAGAGAATTTAAAATGATGTATTGTAATTGAAATCTACAAGTGTATTCATTCATTCAATCATTTTCTGTTGGTTTAGTCTCTATTTCAGAGGTTGCCACAGTGAAATGAACCACCGTCTGTTCAGCATATGTTTTACGAAGAGGATGCCATTCAAACACACACTCATTTGCTATGGACCATTTAGTTATTCAATTCACCTACAGATCATGTCTTTGGACTGTGGGGGAAACCAGAGCACCCAGAGGAAACCAACATGAACATGGGAGAACATGCAAACTCCACAAAGAAATGATAACTGGTCCAGACGGTACTCAAACCAGCGACTGCCTTCCTGTGAGGCGACATTGCCATTGAGCCACCGTGCCACCCTACATGTGAATTGATAAAGTGCAATTAAAGAAACGCTTTGTTCTTTTTGATCACACCTAATTTTACCATTAACTATAACTTTTAACTCAATAAACTGCTTATTAATAGCTATTAAGATAGAAGTTAGGTATTATTAGATATGTACAATAATGTCATGTAGAATACGTACTTCATAAGTACTAATTAACAGCCAATATCTTAATGATATGCAGATAATAAGCCAATTAATACGGAAAAACTTAAACTAAAGTGTTACTTATTTTGTCACTGGACTAACAAACACTATAAACTTTGATGCTGTTTTTAGTATTTTTTTATGCTCGTGAACCACTTTGAGATGCATGTTATAAACAAAACGCCTTAAATCTAAAAACTGACAATATATAAGAAGTGATTTTTACCTGCGGTGTCTCACATTATTAAAACCTGTTCCTGTTGAGATTTCTAGTTTCCATATGACATTTCAAAGAGTCTAAGTGAAAATAATAAAATAAACGCATGCAAGAATGTGAGTCAAATGTACATGAGGTTGATATGAACGTATGATTTGCGCGGTGAGGCAGAACTGCTGGCTGAGGGCATAAAATGACCTCTTTGGTGGCCTTAATGAAGGCTTTGAGGATGGCGTGTCAAATGTAAATGTGCCGTAAGAGGAGAATTCCGGGAAATATTCATGTGTAGACTAATGAAAGGGAATATAAAGATAAAACAAACATGTGGTTTTGCAAAATGGTAAAAGATAATACAGTATATTAATAATTTAGTATGTTTTTAAATAAGCACACAGATCACAGAGGTTTTAACAACACACAAAAAAGCTCCTAATAAAAAGTTAATGTGGTAAAATAAGCTGAATTTTGCAGTCTTTTTGAATAGTTTGAAATAATTTTGAAATAAAATAAAACTGAAATATTACATGATTAACTAGCCGATATTAAATGAAAAAAAGCTTCATTATTACTAAAAGTTAAACTAAAAATACAAAAATAAAGCAAAAAATATTTATACATAATAGTAAAATAATAGTGTATGGACCACTTTCACAAAACTTTTCTTTCTTTTTGAAAATCCACTTAAGAATAAAGTTGTTGGCGCAATAGCCTAGTGGTTAGTGCGCTGACATATGATGCAGTAGCACTTCAGGGCGTCCTGAGTTTAAATCCCAGCTCAAGGACATTTCCTGTCCATACCCCCTTCCCTCTCTACCACTTCGCTTCCTGTCTGAAATACTGTCCTATCCACTTAATAAAAGCCAAAAATAAATCTTTAAAAAAAGAAGCGCTCCATAAATATGGTCAGAAATAAGTCAGAAATATTGACAGAATTTTCATTATTGGATAAATACAATTTAAATAAAAGCACAAATTTCTACTAATTTCACAATTTTTACTAAT